CATCTGAGTTTTCTTTGATTTTATCTTAATAGTTCTTGGTCTTATTACTTTTCCTTTTATATCCATGGGGAAGTGGAATAAGAATCTTTCCTCCGTAAGCCATGCGTGTTGTAAAAGTCAACTAAAATGCCGGGAACAATGGGCTAGTAACCCCTTTTCCTGTAAAGATTACTAAAAAGAATAAGAAGAAGAAAATTGTCAAAGTGGGAAGTCTGAATGTGCGTGGATGTTGTGCAAATGATAAGTAAGAGATGATTGTGGATGTTATGAATGTGAAAAAGCTGGATGTCCTGGCTTTAAGTGAAACAAAGCTGAAGGGGGTGGGTGAGTTTCAGTGGAGAGGAATAAATGGGATTAGGTCAGGGGTTTCAATAGAGTTAGAGCTAAAGAAGGAGTAGCAATAATGTTGAAGGATAAGATATGGCAGGAAAAGAGGGACTATAAATGTATTAATTCAAGGATTATGTGGAGTAAAATAAAGGTTGGATGTGAAAAGTGGGTTATAGTAAGCGTATAAGCACCTGGAGAAGAGAGAAGTGTAGAGGAGAGAGAGAGATTTTGGGAAATGTTGAGTGAATGTGTGGGGAGTTTTGAACCAAGTGTGAGAGTAATGGTGGTTGGGGATTTCAATGCTAAAGTGGGCAAAAATGTTGTGGAGGGAGTAGTAGGTAAATTTGGGGTGCCAGGGGTAAATGAAAATGGGGAGCCTTTAATTGAGCTATGTGTAGAAAGAGGTTTGGTAATAAGTAATACATATTTTATGAAGAAGAGGATAATAAATATACAAGGTATGATATAGCACGTAATGAAAGTAGTTTGTTAGATTATGTATTGGTGGATAAAAGGTTGATGGGTAGGCTCCAGGATGTACACGTTTATAGAGGGGCAACTGATATATCGGATCATTATTTAGTTGCAGCTACAGTTAGAGTAAGGGGTAGATGGGAAAAGAGGAAAATGGCAAGTAAGAGGGAGGTGAAAGTGTTATAAACTATTGGCAGAAAGGTGGGCTAGTGCAAAGATGAGTAGTGGGGGGGTGATGAGGATTGGAATAGTTTTAAAAATGCAGTATTAGAATGTGGGGCAGAAGTTTGTGGTTATAGGAGGGTAGGTACAGGAGGAAAGAGGAGTGATTGGTGGAATGATGAAGTAAAGGGTGTGATAAAAGAGAAAAAGTTAGCTTATGAGAGGTTTTTACAAAGCAGAAGTGTTATAAGAAGAGTAGAGTATATGGAGAGTAAAAGAAAGGTGGTGAGAGAGTGCAAAAGGAGAGCAGATGATAGAGTGGGAGAGGCTCTGTCAAGAAATTTTAATGAAAAGAAAAAAATTTGGAGTTAAACAAGTTAAGAAAGCCTAGAGAACGAATAGATTTGTAAGTTAAAAACAGAGTAGGGGAGTTAGTAGATGGGGAGATGGAGGTTTTGGGTAGATGGCGAGAATATTTTGAGGAACTTTTAAATGTTGAGGAAGAAAGGGAGGCGGTAATTTCATGCACTGGCCAGGGAGGTATACCATCTTTTATAAGTGAAGAAGAACAGGATGTGAGTGTGGGGGAGGTGCGTGAGGCATTACGTAGAATGAAAGAAGGTAAAGCAGCTGGAACTGATGGGATCATCATAGAAATGTTAAAAGCAGGGGGGGGGGATATAGTGTTGGAGTGGTTGGTATTTTTGTTTAATAAATGTATGAAAGAGGGGAAGGTACCTAGGGATTGGCGGAGAGCATGTATAGTCCCTTTATATAAAGGGAAGGGGGACAAAAGAGATTGTAAAAATTATAGAAGAATAAGTTTACTGAGTATACCAGGAAAAGTGTATGGTAGGGTTATTACTGAAAGAATTAGAGGTAAGACAGAATGTAGGATTGCGGATGAGCAAGGAGGTTTTAGAGTGGGTAGGGGATGTGTAGATCAAGTGTTTACATTGAAGCATATATGTGAACAGTATTTAGATAAAGGTAGGGAAGTTTTTATTGCATTTATGGATTTAGAAAAGACATATGATAGAGTAGATAGGGGAGCAATGTGGCAGATGTTGCAAGTATATGGAATAGGTGGTAAGTTACTAAATGCTGTAAAGAATTTTTATGAGGATAGTGAGGCTCAGGTTAGGGTGTGTAGAAGAGAGGGAGAATACTTCCCGGTAAAAGTAGGTCTAAGACAGGGATGTGTAATGTCACCATGGTTGTTTAATATATTTATAGATGGGGTTGTAAAAGAAGTAAATGCTAGGGTGTTCGGGAGAGAGAGGTGGGATTAAATTATGTGAAATCAAATACAAAATGGGAATTGACACAGTTACTTTTTGCTGATGATACTGTGCTTATGGGAGATTCTAAAGAAAAATTGCAAAGGTTAGTGGATGAGTTTGGGAGTGTGTGTAAAGGTAGAAAGTTGAAAGTGAACATAGAAAAGAGTAAGGTGATGAGGGTGTCAAATGATTTATATAAAGAAAAATTGGATATCAAATTGGGGAGGAAGAGTATGGAAGAAGTGAATGTTTTCAGATACTTGGGAGTTGACGTGTCGGCGGATGGATTTATGAACGATGAGGTTAATTATAGAATTGATGAGGGAAAAAAGGTGAGCGGTGCGTTGAGGTATATGTGGAGACAAAAAATGTTATCTATGGAGGCAAAGAAGGGAATGTATGAAAGCATAGTAGTACCAACACTCTTATATGGGTGTGAAGCTTGAGTTGTGAATGCAGCAGCGAGGAGGCATCTGGAGGCAGTGGAGATGTCCTGTTTAAGGGCAATGTGTGGTGTAACTATTATGCAGAAAATTCGATGTGTGGAACTTAGGAGAAGGTGTGGAATTAATAAAAGTATTAGTCAGAGGGCAGAAGAGGGGTTGTTGAGGTGGTTTGGTCATTTAGAGAGAATGGATCACAGTAGAATGACATGGAAAGCATATAAATCTATAGGGGAAGGAAGGCGGGGTAGGGGTCGTCCTCGAAAGGGTTGGAGAGAGGGGGTAAAGGAGGTTTTGTGGGTAAGGGGCTTGGACTTCCAGCAAGCGTGCGTGAGCGTGTTAGATAGGAGTGAATGGAGACGAATGGTACTTGGGACCTGACGATCTGTTGGAGTGTGAGCAGGGTAATATTTAGTGAAGGGATTCAGGGAAACCGGTTATTTTCATATAGTCGGACTTGAGTCCTGGAAATGGGAAGTACAATGCCTGCACTCTAAATGAGGAGTTTGGGATATTGGCAGTTTGGAGGGATATATTCTGTATTTTTATACGTATATACTTCTAGACTGTTGTATTCTGAGCACCTCTGCAAAAACAGTGATAATGTGCGAGTGTGGTGAAAGTGTTGAATGATGATGAAAGTATTTTCTTTTTGGGGATTTTCTTTCTTTTTTGGGTCACCCTGCCTCGGTGGGAGACGGCCGACTTGTTGAAAAAAAAAAAAAAAAAAAAAAAAAAAAATATATATATATATATATATATATATATATATATATATATATATATATATATATATATATATATATATATATATATATATATAATGTAGGTGTGTTAATATTAGGGTGTGTATAAACACCTGTGGTCTGATTAAACATATGTAAACTTGTGTTTCTCTTAAAGAAACTTTATTATTAATAGTTTTAGTAGTAGTTGTAATAATAATAATAATACTAATAATAATAATAACAATAGTGATAGTGGTATAGTCATTGTCTGGGGAATAAGAGATAATCATGTTTGATCCAATGAATGAAAGTGTTGCTCCAATTCCTTGAATCTAAATCCCTTCACCTGACGAAAGCACTTTTCTTGAAGGGAAATCACTACTGTCCTCCAGAAACATGTTAACGTCGCGTTCAGCCAGTGACCCCCGCCTGGGTCACAGGTGACCCCCGCCTGGGTCACAGGTGACCCCCGCCTGGGTCACAGGTGACCCCCGCCTGGGTCACAGGTGACCCCCGCCTGGGTCACAGGTGACCCCCGCCTGGGTCACAGGTGACCCCCGCCTGGGTCACAGGTGACCCCCGCCTGGGTCACAGGTGACCCCCGCCTGGGTCACAGGTGACCCCCGCCTGGGTCACAGGTGACCCCCGCCTGGGTCACAGGTGACCCCCGCCTGGGTCACAGGTGACCCCCGCCTGGGTCACAGGTGACCCCCGCCTGGGTCACAGGTGATCCCCGCCTGGGTCACAGGTGACCACCGCCTGGGTCACAGGTGACCTTCATCGACCACACTACAAGTCACACTGTCTTACTCTAGCCTCTTATCCTGGGATAAATCTGCATAATGTAATATACATATCCACACTATATATATGCCTCATAACCAGTGTAGAGTTAAACTACTGTTTATAAACACTATTTGTAGAATTAGACACATGTGCAACATCTGGGCATCTTCTAGATGTATCGCCATCCAGTGATTTTATTAATATAATACATGGACATAATGCTAAGACTAGAAATACGTATATACAGAAGACAGTGGAAGACGAGGTAATGAGTCCCTCGGTCTAGGAGCAGGTGACTATATACCACTGACGGTATTGTGTACCTTTGATATGCAAATTGTCAGGCACTGCAACATCATGGAGTCTTAGTACAGAGGACATCACCACAGCGTTCTTGCTAACTCCTGGACCAACTCTTGAGCATGACCTACTTCCACCGGAGAATCCCACCTACTAGTGATAATGTCTTCCTCTGCTGCACCTCATCTGACTCCAGTACATAAGCGTCAGTCTTGCCTGTGCTTCAGATTCTTCATGACTACGGTGCTCATCACCTGCTCCTACACTGAGGGACTGGTTACCTCACCTTCCACTGTTTTCTGTATTTTTACAGTCTTCTGATTATATCCATGTATTTTACTGACAAAGCCACTTAATCACCAGACGTCTACAAGTTGCTCAGATGTTGCACATGTGTCTAATTCTTCGTCTTGTGGTATTGTGTATAATTATATATGCATCTGTTTGTAGAGTTTTCTCAAATTAAACTTTCCCTTTGTGTGTGTGTGTTGCAGGGAGGTGTTCCCGGGGTCTGCATCACCACTGACCTTATCACTTATACCTCAGTGTATTGACCTGACCTTCCAGAAGGAGCTCTCACGCATCAAATGGCCTTTCTACACGCCGGAGCCTCAGCACGTCCGCCTCAGTCCCTCTTACTACTCCCATGTTTTCCTAAACATGCTCGAGGTAGGTGGACCCTCTTCTAGCCTCTTGGAACGCGTTCCTAACTCTGAGTCACAGTTGCTAGAACACACCTGCACATAGAGACAGTCTCTACATGTGGTGTTCACCAGATATATTACGTCTCTTGATAACTTCGTCACAGGTGGTGGACGAGTCACGTCTGCCACCTGGCAGTCACTGCCTCGCCCTCAGCCTGGGAGACACACCCCTGGTATTTTATATTATATATTAATTCATAACCCTTGATGATTTATAGTATTTATTATATAATTTAAATGAATTTTAGATATTGATTTAAAAATGGTAATGTCCCTAAATAAATTACATTAGACATGTATGAAGGAATGAAGGTTTAACTGGCAGCTTCGAGGACATAGTGTCCCGTAGCTCGGTTAGTATCGCACTCATGTTACACATTGTGGTCCGTGGTTTAATCCCAGGTACGGGTGGAAACATTAGGGAGTGTTTCCTTAAGACACCTGCTGCCAGTGTTCACCTGGGTGTTAGCCGACTGGTATGGGTCGCATCCTGGGGACAAAATTAACTTAATTTGCCCGAAATTTTTTGCATAACCAGGGGCTTTCTATATAGTATGTCACTGATGTTAATTAGGTCTGTATAAGTTTTATCATGTATTTGTAGACAAAGATTATTATTATTATTATTATTATTATTATTATTATTATTATTATTATTATTATTATTATTATTATTATTATTGTTATTATATGGGCCCACATGGAGACAGACATACTAATATACTGACGATACATTAGTCAGTATATTTCGACTTCTAACTGATATTCCTCTTTAACACAAGAGTAACAATATCAATTAAAAAAAAGATCTCTGTATTGCGTCCTCACATTATCTCTGACACTTTTCAACTGACTTATAATTGTGAGAGATAAAATTGTGAGAGATAAAATTGTGAGAGATAAAATTGTGAGAGATAAAATTGTGAGAGATAAAATGGTGAGAGATAAAATTGTGAGAGATAAAATTGTGAGAGATAAAATGGTGAGAGATAAAATTGTGAGAGATAAAATTGTGAGAGATAAAATTGTGAGAGATAAAATGGTGAGAGATAAAATTGTGAGAGATAAAATTGTGAGAGATAAAATGGTGAGAGATAAAATTGTGAGAGATAAAATTGTGAGAGATAAAATTGTGAGAGATAAAATTGATACACAACAGTGGATGCTTAAATTATGATACGTTCAAGACCACGTCACGTGCAGGCAATAGCAACTATAAAGCATACGCAGCTATAGCATCGGGTATGCAGAGGCAAAAAACTAGAAGTGCAAGAGCATAGAAAAATTATTGAAATAAAAAAAACAGCAGTAAAATAGATAAGTGAACAGAGGAGTCATGGGTGAAAAGTAAGAATAAAGAGTAAAATAAGAATGACTGAGCAGTGGAAACCAAAACCAAGTCGAAATTGATTCAGAGTTACATCAGAAGACAGACGATGTAGACGATCAGAATATAACTGAAGGAAGGAGGAGAGCTCACGAGGATGTCATAGAAGTCTACAAGGAGCTGAACAAATTATGTATACTGGTGTTCCTGGTAGAAACGTGGACAATACCTGCAGGCTATTGAAACGACAGGTTATGAAAAATAAGGCGTGGAAAGAGGACCGGAAACTGAGTTGATGGCCACGGAGGAGTTAGGTGTGTCTTATCACCGAGTAATAATAATAATACTTATTTCTATAAGTACATGTACAGTGTATACAGCTCTAGCTGACATCAATGATATATTGTGTAGAAAACCTCTGGGTTTGCAAGGCATTTCGGGAAAATTAGTTTTTTTTTTGTCCCCATGATGCAACCCCACACACGTCGGCTAACACCCAGGTATCTACTTACTGCTAGTTGAACATGGCAGCAGGTGTCTTAAGGAAATACGCCATAATGTTTCCACCCTTACCTGGGATCGAACCACGGACCACAATATGTGAGCTAAGTGCGCTACCAACCGAGCTAGGGGATACCTATGTCATCAGAGGAGTACATTAGCCAACTAACCTCTGTAGAGAATTCGTGTTTAGGTAATCATAAGACTGGTATTCAAGAACATCGACAGAGTCAATCACAACACACCAGAGACAAGTTCTCATAGGCACAATTAGCGTGAGACTCAAATTTACAACGATACTAGTGCCAACGATACTAGTGCCAACGATACTAGTGCCAACGATACTAGTGCCAACGATACTAGTGCCAACGATACTAGTGCCAACGATACTAGTGCCAACGATACTAGTGCCAACGATACTCGTGCCAACGATACTAGTGCCAACGATACTCGTGCCAACGATACTCGTGCCAACGATACTAGTGCCAACGATACTCGTGCCAACGATACTAGTGCCAACGATACTAGTGCCAACGATACTAGTGCCAACGATACTAGTGCCAACGATACTAGTGCCAACGATACTAGTGCCAACGATACTAGTGCCAACGATACTCGTGCCAACGATACTAGTGCCAACGATACTAGTGCCAACGATACTAGTGCCAACGATACTAGTGCCAACGATACTAGTGCCAACGATACTCGTGCCAACGATACTCGTGCCAACGATACTAGTGCCAACGATACTAGTGCCAACGATACTAGTGCCAACGATACTAGTGCCAACGATACTCATGCCAACGATACTCGTGCCAACGATACTAGTGCCAACGATACTAGTGCCAACGATACTAGTGCCAACGATACTAGTGCCAACGATACTAGTGCCAACGATACTCGTGCCAACGATACTAGTGCCAACGATACTAGTGCCAACGATACTAGTGCCAACGATACTCGTGCCAACGATACTAGTGCCAACGATACTAGTGCCAACGATACTAGTGTAAAGTAAAGGAACTTCCTTGAGTGGACATTTAGCAAAAATCTACAACTAGTTATCAGAGACAAGACAACTTCCAAACAGCTGATAATGAAGTCCCAGTGTAGCAGAAGATGGAGAGACGTCCCTGTGTAGCAGAAGATGGAGAGACGTCCCAGTGTAGCAGAAGATGGAGAGACGTCCCTGTGTAGCAGAAGATGGAGAGACGTCCCTGTGTAGCAGAAGATGGAGAGACGTCCCTGTGTAGCAGAAGATGGAGAGACGTCCCAGTGTAGCAGAAGATGGAGAGACGTCCCTGTGTAGCAGAAGATGGAGAGACGTCCCTGTGTAGCAGAAGATGGAGAGACGTCCCTGTGTAGCAGAAGATGGAGAGACGTCCCTGTGTAGCAGAAGATGGAGAGACGTCCCTGTGTAGCAGAAGATGGAGAGACGTCCCAGTGTAGCAGAAGATGGAGAGACGTCCCTGTGTAGCAGAAGATGGAGAGACGTCCCTGTGTAGCAGAAGATGGAGAGACGTCCCAGTGTAGCAGAAGATGGAGAGACGTCCCTGTGTAGCAGAAGATGGAGAGACGTCCCTGTGTAGCAGAAGATGGAGAGACGTCCCAGTGTAGCAGAAGATGGAGAGACGTCCCTGTGTAGCAGAAGATGGAGAGACGTCCCTGTGTAGCAGAAGATGGAGAGACGTCCCAGTGTAGCAGAAGATGGAGAGACGTCCCTGTGTAGCAGAAGATGGAGAGACGTCCCTGTGTAGCAGAAGATGGAGAGACGTCCCAGTGTAGCAGAAGATGGAGAGACGTCCCTGTGTAGCAGAAGATGGAGAGACGTCCCTGTGTAGCAGAAGATGGAGAGACGTCCCAGTGTAGCAGAAGATGGAGAGACGTCCCTGTGTAGCAGAAGATGGAGAGACGTCCCTGTGTAGCAGAAGATGGAGAGACGTCCCAGTGTAGCAGAAGATGGAGAGACGTCCCTGTGTAGCAGAAGATGGAGAGACGTCCCTGTGTAGCAGAAGATGGAGAGACGTCCCAGTGTAGCAGAAGATGGAGAGACGTCCCTGTGTAGCAGAAGATGGAGAGACGTCCCTGTGTAGCAGAAGATGGAGAGACGTCCCAGTGTAGCAGAAGATGGAGAGACGTCCCTGTGTAGCAGAAGATGGAGAGACGTCCCTGTGTAGCAGAAGATGGAGAGACGTCCCAGTGTAGCAGAAGATGGAGAGACGTCCCTGTGTAGCAGAAGATGGAGAGACGTCCCTGTGTAGCAGAAGATGGAGAGACGTCCCAGTGTAGCAGAAGATGGAGAGACGTCCCAGTGTAGCAGAAGATGGAGAGACGTCCCTGTGTAGCAGAAGATGGAGAGACGTCCCTGTGTAGCAGAAGATGGAGAGACGTCCCAGTGTAGCAGAAGATGGAGAGACGTCCCAGTGTAGCAGAAGATGGAGAGACGTCCCTGTGTAGCAGAAGATGGAGAGACGTCCCTGTGTAGCAGAAGATGGAGAGACGTCCCAGTGTAGCAGAAGATGGAGAGACGTCCCAGTGTAGCAGAAGATGGAGAGACGTCCCAGTGTAGCAGAAGATGGAGAGACGTCCCAGTGTAGCAGAAGATGGAGAGACGTCCCAGTGTAGCAGAAGATGGAGAGACGTCCCTGTGTAGCAGAAGATGGAGAGACGTCCCTGTGTAGCAGAAGATGGAGAGACGTCCCAGTGCAGCAGAAGATGGAGACACGTCCCAGTGTAGCAGAAGATGGAGAGACGTCCCTGTGTAGCAGAAGATGGAGAGACGTCCCAGTGTAGCAGAAGATGGAGAGACGTCCCAGTGTAGCAGAAGATGGAGAGACGTCCCAGTGTAGCAGAAGATGGAGAGACGTCCCAGTGTAGCAGAAGATGGAGAGACGTCCCAGTGTAGCAGAAGATGGAGAGACGTCCCAGTGTAGCAGAAGATGGAAAGACGTCCCAGTGTAGCAGAAGATGGAGAGACGTCCCAGTGTAGCAGAAGATGGAGAGATGTCCCAGTGTAACAGAAGATGGAGAGACGTCCCAGTGCAGCAGAAGATGGAGACACGTCCCAGTGTAGCAGAAGATGGAGAGACGTCCCAGTGTAGCAGAAGATGGAGAGACGTCCCAGTGTAGCAGAAGATGGAGAGACGTCCCAGTGTAGCAGAAGATGGAGAGACGTCCCAGTGTAGCAGAAGATGGAGAGACGTCCCAGTGCAGCAGAAGATGGAGAGACGTCCCAGTGTAGCAGAAGATGGAGAGATGTCCCAGTGTAGCTGAAGATGGAGACACGTCCCAGTGTAGCAGAAGATGGAGACACGTCCCAGTGTAGCAGAAGATGGAGAGATGTCCCAGTGTAGCTGAAGATGGAGAGACGTCCAAGTGTAGCAGAAGATGGAGACACGTCCCAGTGTAGCAGAAGATGGAGAGATGTCCCAGTGTAGCAGAAGATGGAGACACGTCCCAGTGTAGCAGAAGATGGAGAGATGTCCCAGTGCAGCAGAAGATGGAGAGACGTCCAAGTGTAGCAGAAGATGGAGACACGTCCCAGTGTAGCAGAAGATGGATAGACGTCCCAGTGAAGCAGAAGATGGAGAGATGTCCCAGTGCAGCAGAAGATGGAGAGACGTCCCAGTGTAGCAGAAGATGGAGAGATGTCCCAGTGCAGCAGAAGATGGTGAGACGTCCCAGTGTAGCAGAAGATGGAGAGACGTCCCAGTGCAGCAGAAGATGGAGAGACGTCCAAGTGTAGCAGAAGATGGAGAGACGTCCCAGTGAAGCAGAAGATGGAGAGACGTCCCAGTGAAGCAGAAGATGGAGAGACGTCCCAGTGAAGCAGAAGATGGAGAGACGTCCCAGTGTAGCAGAAGATGGAGAGACGTCCCAGTGAAGCAGAAGATGGAGAGACGTCCCAGTGAAGCAGAAGATGGAGAGACGTCCCAGTGTAGCAGAAGATGGAGAGACGTCCCAGTGAAGCAGAAGATGGAGAGACGTCCCAGTGAAGCAGAAGATGGAGAGACATCCCAGTGTAGCAGAAGATGGAGAGACGTCCCAGTGTAGCAGAAGATGGAGAGACGTCCCAGTGTAGCAGAAGATGGAGACACGTCCCAGTGAAGCAGAAGATGGAGACACGTCCCAGTGAAGCAGAAGATGGAGAGACGTCCCAGTGAAGAGAAGATGGAGAGACGTCCCAGTGAAGCAGAAGATGGAGAGACGTCCCAGTGAAGCAGAAGATGGAGAGACGTCCCAGTGAAGCAGAAGATGGAGAGACGTCCCAGTGTAGCAGAAGATGGAGACACGTCCCAGTGAAGCAGAAGATGGAGAGACGTCCCAGTGAAGCAGAAGATGGAGAGACGTCCCAGTGAAGCAGAAGATGGAGAGACGTCCCAGTGTAGCAGATGGAGAGACGTCCCTGTGTAGCAGAAGATGGAGAGACGTCCCAGTGAAGCAGAAGATGGAGAGACGTCCCAGTGAAGCAGAAGATGGGGAGACGTCCCCGTGAAGCAGAAGATGGAGAGACATCCCAGTGTACCAGATGGAGAGACGTCCCTGCGTAGCAGAAGATGAGAGGCGTCCCAGTATAGCAGAAGATGGAGAGACGTCCCAGTGTAGCAGAAGATGGAGAGACGTCCCAGTGTAGCAGAAGATGGAGAGACGTCCCAGTGTAGCAGAAGATGGAGAGATGTCCCAGTGCAGCAGAAGATGGAGAGACGTCCAAGTGTAGCAGAAGATGGAGAGACGTCCCAGTGTAGCAGAAGATGGAGAGACGTCCCAGTGAAGCAGAAGATGGAGAGACGTCCCAGTGAAGCAGAAGATGGGGAGACGTCCCAGTGAAGCAGAAGATGGAGAGACGTCCCAGTGTAGCAGATGGAGAGATGTCCCTGTGTAGCAGAAGATGGAGAGACGTCGCAGTGTAGCAGAAGATGGAGAGACGTCCCAGTGAAGCAGAAGATGGAGAGACGTTCGAGTGTGGCAGAAGATGGAGAGACGTCCCAGTGAAGCAGAAGATAGAGAGACGTCCCAGTGAAGCAGAAGATGGAGAGACGTCCCAGTGAAGCAGAAGATGGGGAGACGTCCCAGTGAAGCAGAAAATGGAGAGACGTCCCAGTGAAGCAGAAGATAGAGAGACGTCCCAGTGTAGCAAAAGATGGGGAGACGTCCCAGTGCAGCAGAAGATGGAGAGACGTCCCAGTGCAGCAGAAGATGGAGAGACGTCCCACTGCAACAGAAGATGGGGAGACGTCCCACTGCAGCAGAAGATGGAGAGACGTCCCTGTGTAGCACAAGATGGAGAGACGTCCCAGTGTAGCAGAAGATGGAGAGACGTCCCAGTGCAGCAGAAGATGGAGAGACGTCTCGTGTAGCAGATGGAGAGACATCCCAGTGCAGCAGAAGATGGAGAGACGTCCCAGTGTAGCAGAAGTTGGAGAAACGTCTCAGTGTAGCAGAAGATGGAGAAACGTCTCAGTGTAGCAGAAGATGGAGAGACGTCCCAGTGTAGCAGAAGATGGAGAGACGTCCCAGTGTAGCAGAAGATGGAGAGACGTCCCAGTGTAGCAGAAGATGGAGAGACGTCCCAGTATAGCAGAAGATGGAGAGACGTCCCAGTGCAGAAGAAGATGGAGAGACGTCCCAGTGCAGCAGAAGATGGAGAGACGTCCCAGTGCAGCAGAAGATGGAGAGACGTCCCAGTTCAGCAGAAAATGGAGAGACGTCCAAGTGCAGCAGAAGATGGAGAGACGTCCCAGTTTAGCAGAAGATGGAGAGACGTCCCAGTGTAGCAGAAGATGGAGAGACTCCCAGTTTAGCAGAAGATAGAGAGACGTCCCAGTGCAGCAGATGGAGAGACGTCCCAGTGTAGCAGAAGATGGAGAGACGTCCCAGTGTAGCAGAAGATGGAGAGACGTCCCAGTTTAGCAGCAGAAGGAGTGACGTCTCAGTGTAGTAGAAGAGGGAGAGACGTCCCAGTGTAGCAGAAGAGGGAGAGATGTCCCAGTGTAGCAGAAGAGGGAGAGACGTTCCAGTGTAGCAGAAGAGGAGAGGCGTCCCAGGTAGTCGAAATTGCTGGCCTACCGGAAGAATGTACAGAGAACTTTCACAGCACGTGTAAGTACGAAAAAGCACCTAAATTACTGGGAACAGTTGGAGTCCCTTGATTTGTACTCCCTGGAACGTAGGCCAGAAAGATACATAATATACACTTTGAAAATGCTAGAGAGACTATTCCCAAAATCTACACACGAAAATTACTCCCTACGAAAGCAAACGACTCGACAGGTAATGTAACATCCCTCCCAATGAAAAGCAGGGCAACCATGAGTACGCTAAGGGAAACACAGTAAGTGTCAGGGGCCCAAAACTGTTCAACTGCCTCCCAGCATACATAAAGGGGATTACCAATATACCCCTGGCTGCCTTCAAAAAGGCGCTGAACAGCATGCGGTCAACAGTAACAGCCTGGTTGATTAGGCCTTGAGTATAATAGCGAGCACATCTCCTGAGGCGTACTGCTATCAAATAACTGCTGCAGCATACTGGCGACTAGCAAACCGAAGAATAGCGTTCCGACACCTCAGTGAGGAATCGTTCAAGACTCTGTACACCGTGTACGTCAAGCCCGTATTAGAATATGCAGCACCAGTTTGGATCCCACACTTTGTGAAGCACGTCAAGAAATTAGAGAAAGTGCAAAGGTTTGCAGTAAACTAGTCCTGGAGCTAAGGGGTATGTCCTACGAGGAGAGGATAAGTAAAATCGACCTGACGACACTGCAGGACAGGAGGGATAGGGGAACCTTCCGAGTGAAATTGACAAGGTGGATAAGGACAGGATGTTTCAGAGATGGGACACAGCAACAAGGGGTCACATCTGGAAGTTGAATACTCAGATAAGTCACATGGATGTTAGGAAATATTTGTTCAATCATAGCATTGTCAGGAAGTGGAAAAGTCTGGAGAGTGATGTAGTGGAGGCAGGATCCATACATAGCTTTACTACGAGGTATGATAAAGCTCATGGAGCAGGTAGTAGCCACCAATGATGAGGAGGGGCTAGGAGCTCTGACTCGACCCCTGCAACCACAAATAGGTGAATTACGTGAGTACACACACACACACACACACACACACACACACACACACACACACACACACACACACACACACACACACACACACACACACACACACACACACACACACCCACACACCCACACAGGGGAGGTGAAGGATTAGCACTGTTGCTCAGAAATCAGTGGAACTCGAAAGAAAAGAAAGGGGATAAACAGACAAGAGACACATGGCTCCAAAGCAAGCTTAGTTAAGGCTGGGGGACCCAAAGTAGTAGTAATTGCAGTGACATACAACCCACCGCCTAACAATAGGAGATTGTAGCAATGATGTGAAAACACCACAGTAATGGTCAACATCATAGTTGAAGCAGCTATGAGTGCTGCTCACAGAACTATAGTACGTACTCATCATGCGTGGTTTTAATCACATATTGACTGGGAGAACTGAGACATACATGGAGGACCGGAAGCGTGGAGGGATAAGTTGATGGAAGTGTCAGCATGTTATGGATACGACAAGAGATATTAGGTACAAGACTGTACCTAATATTTACCACAAGTATACCAGACATAGGAGAAACAGAATATGTGCCAGCAACTATGTAGTGCTGAAATTGGAGTAGTTTGTGGAACTAAACGTAGAGGGAAGAATGACATGTAAAGATCGTGGAAAGCCAGGTGTTAGAGGAGGAAATTCTGCAGGGATGAGGGAATTCCTGAATGTATTGCAGTGGGAAAGGGAACTGGATAAGATGATGGAGTACGGAGCTGGAAAGTGGCGGGAGGCAGAGTAGAGCTTCATATCCAAAACACGAATTGGAAATAGGAATCACAAAGGGAGCCTTGGTTTAACCAGAGATGCAGAGAGGGAGAAAAAAACTTAAGAGCGTGGAAAAAGTATAGAAAGCAAAATGCAAATAATAACAGAAGTGAACAGATTAGCTTGAAGTGATTATGCATGGAATTACATTTTGTTTAAGTCTTGCCAAGCAGTTGTGTAAGTGACAGTCTCGCTTGGACTTCAGATGCAGTTCCGAGACAATGAGGAGAAGATGACAGCAGCAAACAGAGCTATGGACTTGGCAATATACGGTCATATAGTGAGCACTGACGAGTACCTGGCGTGGGGCAAGGAACGCTTTGGTCTGGCCAGTATCTTCAACAGGTGGATCTACCTCATCTTCCTTGTGTATGTAAGTACTACTACCCCTCATCTTCCTGTTGTATATAAGTACTACTACCCATCATCCTCCAGCTGTATGTAAGTACTACTATCCCTTATCCTCCTGCTGTGTGTAAGTACTAATACCCCTCATCCTCCTGCTGTATGTAAGTACTACTATCCCTCATCCTCCTGCTGTATGTAAGTACTACTACCCCTCATCTTCCTGTTGTATATAAGTACTACTACCCATCATCCTCCAGCTGTATGTAAGTACTACTATCCCTCATCCTCCTGCTGTATGTAAGTACTACTACCCCTCATCTTCCTGTTGTATATAAGTACTACTACCCATCATCCTCCAGCTGTATGTAAGTACTACTACCCCTCATCTTCCTGTTGTATATAAGTACTACTACCCGTCATCCTCCAGCTGTATGTAAATACTACTACCCCTCATCCTCCTGCTGTGTGTAAGTACTACTACCCGTCATCCTCCAGCTGTATGTAAATACTACTACCCCTCATCCTCCTGCTGTGTGTAAGTACTACTACCCGTCATCCTCCAGCTGTATGTAAGTACTACTATCCCTCATCCTCCTGCTGTGTGTAAGTACTACTACCCGTCATCCTCCAGCTGTATGTAAGTACTACTATCCCTCATCCTCCTGCTGTGTGTAAGTACTACTACCTCTCATCCTCCTGCTGTATGTAGGTACTACTACCTATCATCCTCCAGCTGTATGTAAGTACTACTATCCCTCATCCTCCTGCTGTATGTAAGTACTACTACCTATCATCCTCCTGCTGTATGTAAGTACTACTACCCCTCACCCTCCAGCTGTATGTAAGTACTACTATCCCTCATCCTCCTGCTGTATGTAAGTACTACTACCTCTCATCCTCCTGCTGTATGTAAGTACTACTACCCCTCATCCTCCTGCTGTATATAAGTACTACTATCCCTCATTCTCCAGCTGTATGTAAGTACTACTATCCCTCATCCTCCTGCTATATGTAAGTACTACTACCTCTCATCCTCCTGCTGTATGTAAGTACTACTACCTCTCATCCTCCAGCTGTATGTAAGTACTACTACCCCTCATTATCCTGCTGTATGTAAGTACTACTATCCCTCATCCTCCAGCTGTATGTAAGTACTACTATCCCTCATCCTCCAGCTGTATGTAAGTACTACTACCTCTCATCCTCCTGCTGTATGTAAATACTACTACCTCTCATCCTCCTGCTGTATGTAAGTACTACTACCCCTCATCCTCCTGCTGTATGTAAGTACTACTACCCCTCATCCTCCAGCTGTATGTAAGTACTACTACCCCTCATCCTCCAGCTTATGTAAGTATTACTACCTCTCATCCTCCTGCTGTATGTAAATACTACTACCCCTCATCCTCCAGCTGTATGTAAGTACTACTACCCCTCATCCTCGTGCTGTATGTAAATACTACTACCCCTCATCCTCCTGCTGTATGTAAGTACTACTACCTCTCATCCTCCTGCTGTATGTAAGTACTACTACCCCTCATTATCCTGCTGTATGTAAGTACTACTACCCCTCATCCTCCTGCTGTATGTAAGTACTACTATCCCTCATCCTCCAGCTGTATGTAAGTACTACTACCTCTCATCCTCCTGCTGTATGTAAGTACTACTACCCCTCATCCTCCAGCTGTATGTAAGTACTACTACCCCTCATCCTCCAGCTGTATGTAAGTACTACTACCCCTCATTATCCTGCTGTATGTAAGTACTACTACCTCTCATCCTCCTGCTGTATGTAAGTACTACTACCTCTCATCCTCCTGCTTTATGTAAGTACTACTACCTCTCATCCTCCTGCTGTATGTAAGTACTACTACCTCTCATCCTCCTGCTGTATGTAAGTACTACTACCCCTCATTATCCTGCTGTATGTAAGTACTACTACCTCTCATCCTCCTGCTGTATGTAAGTACTACTACAACTCATCCTCCAGCTGTATGTAAGTACTAATACCCCTCATCCTCCTGCTGTATGTAAGTACTACTACCTCTCATCCTCCTGCTGTATGTAAGTACTACTATCCCTCATCCTCCTGCTGTATGTAAGTACTACTACCTCTCATCCTCCTGCTGTATGTAAGTACTACTATCCCTCATCATCCAGCTGTATGTAAGTACTACTACCCCTCATCCTCCAGCTGTATGTAAGTACTACTACCTCTCATCCTCCTGCTGTATGTAAGTACTACTACCCCTCCTCCTCCTGCTGTATGTAAGTACTACTATCCCTCATCCTCCTGCTGTATGTAAGTACTACTACCCCTCATCCTCCTGCTGTATGTAAGTACTACTGCCTCTCATCCTCCTGCGGTATGTAAGTGCTACTATCCCTCATCCTCCTGCTGTATGTAAGTACTACTACCCCTCATCCTCCTGCTGTATGTAAGTACTACTATCCCTCATCCTCCTGCTGTATGTAAGTACTACTACCTCTCATCCTCCTGCTGTATGTAAGTACTTCTGTCACTCATCCTCCAGCTGTATGTAAGTACTACTACCTCTCATCCTCCTGCTGTATGTAAGTACTACTATCCCTCATCCTCCAGCTGTATGTAAGTACTACTATCCCTCATCCTCCTGCTGTATGTAAGTACTACTATCTCTCATCCTCCAGCTGTATGTAACTACTACTACCTCTCATCCTCCTGCTGTATGTAAGTACTACTACCCCTCATCCTCCAGCTGTATGTAAGTACTACTACCCCTCATCCTCCTGCTGTATGTAAGTACTACTATCCCTCATCCTCCAGCTGTATGTTAAGTACTACTACCTCTCATCCTCCTGTTGTATGTAAGTACTACTACCTCTCATCCTCCTGCTGTATGTAAGTACTACTACCTCTCATCCTCCAGCTGTATGTAAGTACTACTATCCCTCATCCTCCTGCTGTATGTAAGTACTACTACCTCTCATCCTCCTGCTGTATGTAAGTACTACTACCTCTCATCCTCCTGCTGTAAGTACTACTATCCCTCATCCTCCAGCTGTATGTAAGTACTACTATCCCTCATCCTCCTGCTGTATGTAAGTACTACTACCTCTCATCCTCCTGCTGTATGTAAGTACTACTACCTCGCATCCTCCTGCTGTATGTAAGTACTACTACCTCTCATCCTCCTGCTGTATATAAGTACTACTATCCCTCATCCTCCAGCTGTATGTAAGTACTACTACCCCTCATCCTCCAGCTGTATGTAAGTACTACTACCTCTCATCCTCCTGCTGTATGTAAGTACTACTACCCCTCCTCCTCCTGCTGTATGTAAGTACTACTATCCCTCATCCTCCTGCTGTATGTAAGTACTACTACCCCTCATCCTCCTGCTGTATGTAAGTACTACTGCCTCTCATCCTCCTGCGGTATGTAAGTGCTACTATCCATCATCCTCCTGCTGTATGTAAGTACTACTACCCCTCATCCTCCTGCTGTATGTAAGTACTACTATCCCTCATCCTCCTGCTGTATGTAAGTACTACTACCTCTCATCCTCCTGCTGTATGTAAGTACTTCTATCACTCATCCTCCAGCTGTATGTAAGTACTACTACCTCTCATCCTCCTGCTGTATGTAAGTACTACTATCCCTCATCCTCCAGCTGTATGTAAGTACTACTATCCCTCATCCTCCTGCTGTATGTAAGTACTACTATCTCTCATCCTCCAGCTGTATGTAACTACTACTACCTCTCATCCTCCTGCTGTATGTAAGTACTACTACCCCTCATCCTCCAGCTGTATGTAAGTACTACTACCCCTCATCCTCCTGCTGTATGTAAGTACTACTATCCCTCATCCTCCAGCTGTATGTTAAGTACTACTACCTCTCATCCTCCTGCTGTATGTAAGTACTACTACCTCTCATCCTCCTGCTGTATGTAAGTACTACTACCTCTCATCCTCCAGCTGTATGTAAGTACTACTATCCCTCATCCTCCTGCTGTATGTAAGTACTACTACCTCTCATCCTCCTGCTGTATGTAAGTACTACTACCTCTCATCCTCCTGCTGTAAGTACTACTATCCCTCATCCTCCAGCTGTATGTAAGTACTACTATCCCTCATCCTCCTGCTGTATGTAAGTACTACTACCTCTCATCCTCCTGCTGTATGTAAGTACTACTACCTCTCATCCTCCTGCTGTATGTAAGTACTACTACCTCTCATCCTCCTGCTGTATGTAAGTGCTACTATCCCTCATCCTCCTGCTGTATGTAAGTACTACTAACCCTCATCCTCCAGCTGTATGTAAGTACTACTACCTCTCATCCTCCTGCTGTATGTAAGTACTACTACCTCTCATCCTCCAGCTGTATGTAAGTACTACTATCCCTCATCCTCCAGCTGTATGTAAGTACTACTACCTCTCATCCTCCTGCTGTATGTAAGTACTACTAACCCTCATCCTCCTGCTGTATGTAAGTACTACTACCTCTCATCCTCCTGCTGTATGTAAGTACTACTAACCCTCATCCTCCTGCTGTATGTAAGTACTACTACCTCTCATCCTCCTGCTGTATGTAAGTACTACTAACCCTCATCCTCCTGCTGTATGTAAGTACTACTACCTCTCATCCTCCTGCTGTATGTAAGTACTACTAACCCTCATCCTCCTGCTGTATGTAAGTACTACTACCTCTCATCCTCCTGCTGTATGTAAGTACTACTAACCCTCATCCTCCTGCTGTATGTAAGTACTACTACCTCTCATCCTCCTGCTGTATGTAAGTACTACTAACCCTCATCCTCCTGCTGTATGTAAGTACTACTACCTCTCATCCTCCTGCTGTATGTAAGTACTACTAACCCTCATCCTCCTGCTGTATGTAAGTACTACTACCTCTCATCCTCCTGCTGTATGTAAGTACTACTACCTCTCATCCTCCTGCTGTATGTAAGTACTACTACCTCTCATCCTCCTGCTGTATGTAAGTACTACTACCTCTCATCCTCCTGCTGTATGTAAGTACT